CTTGTGACTGTTACATATGAACAAAATAAAAATATCCCTATTTCTAAAGCCTAATCTTCAAATGTCAATCTGGCACCTTGATTGTAAAAATTGTTTATATACACAACTCAAAAGAGGCCATCCGACAAATTTTTTTGGCATATTTATAATAATGAAATTTTATCATAAAGTTAGGATATCACATGCTGCCCATTGACTTCTGTTGCGAATCTGGATTTAGGATTTATAATTTTGATGATAGCAAACATTTCTGACACTTATGTTTTTCTATGATTACCTTGTATACTAATGTTTCAGGTTCAGAAGGTCAATTGCAAATTAAGTCAGCTCAAAATTGGATAGATTAGGACTGAGTCAATTTGTAATGTACATCAAATATCTTTTACATTTTCTTGAGTTTTTAATAACAATGTGGGTCCTAATGCTAAGCAACCTTGCACAAACATATTCGGGGGAAGAATTCTGACCGTTTTAGAGTTTTTTTTATTTTGATCATATTGTCCGGGATGATCCCAAATCGTTATAGACAATCAGTTAAAAATAAAAACTCTAATTAAGGCAGACACAATTAAGCAAATCGTCCTGGGCGATATTAGCATCATTCAGGACGATAGGCTCAAATAAGAAAGAACCTGTCGCTAGATCTGTTTAGGCATGTTTTATTTTTGGACATCGTCTAGGACATCGCCCTGGATGATGAAGTGCAATTATGCCTAAATTAGTGTTGTAATTAAGAAAAGCAAATAAAGTTTGATTGAACGATATATCATTCGTGACGATCAGTAAAATAAATCTTAGTTTCTTCATGGACGACCAAAACGATGTTCTGGACGATGTGTATTGTTTTTGAACTAATCGTCCGGGATGATCCCTAATCGTCCTAGATGATCAATTATTTTTTCATATTTCAGACATGCAATCAGGGCGATGTGTTGAATGATATTTTCCATTTTGAACTAATCATCCGGGATGATTACGAAATCATCCGGGATGATCATTTTACTTTTCCATCATCAAGGCATGCATTCAGGGCGATGTTCTAGACGATACTCAACTATTTGAACTAATCGTACAGGATGATCCGTAGATCATCCTGGACGATAATGTCGGTTTGTTGCAATTAAGAGCAAATCCAAAACTCTTCTATATAAGACATCTTCTTTACCCAAGATTGTATCTTTTGCTACTGTATTGGCCTGAGAGAGCCAATAGGAGAGGGAGAGTAAGGGAGAGAGAGAGAGAGGATCTTGTGAGGGGGAGTTTGTGAGGGGTTTTACAAAGGTTACTCCAAGCAAGGATCCGAGTCATCTTCTCCAGTCGTCGTCCTTGATTCCTTGGAGGTTTGAGAAGTATACTTCAGCAACTGATCAAGGTTCTCTTCCTGCTTCAGAAGGAAGCGAAAGGAGTCGGCTTTTCAGCCTAAATCAGGAGAAAGCAAAAGGAGTTGGGTTCTCTGCCTGATCGGTGTCAGTGGAAAAGAGGTTTGTACATGCTTCTCCGCCTTGCTGTGGGAGCAAAAGAAGAGTAACTGAATTTAGTGCAATACCCGGAGGAGAGACTCCAGGGAGTAGACGTATGTCAAGTTGACCGAACCACTATAAATTTCTGTGTATTCTTTCTTACTGCTTTCTCGCATTAAATTTCTACACTTTGATTTTCTTGTGGTGATTATTGATTTGATTTAAGATTGTGATTTTTGTTTGAGAAATTTTAAAAATATAAATTTACTCCCTCTCTTGGTTAGCCTTGGGCTAGTTCACAAGGGCTTAACATCCCTAACGAACTTTCAACTTCATCACCTACAATCACCAAGAAGTCCGAGGTATCTTTTAAATACCATTGTCAATGCACATCATATTAAAGAAGGCTAATGCATGCTGCCAATACCAACGTTGATGCCACAAACTTTGTAGTCAGCTGTCGCTAATATTGTAGACATACATCATCATTAAGAATGACAATACATATTACATCATCATTAAGAATGACAATACATATTGTCGACACTAATATTGATGCACACCATCACCAAGAAATTTTATACAGATCGTCAACATCTATTTTGATGTACCTCGACCTTATCATAAGCGATTGCCATTGGTGTCGACCCACGCTATCACCAAGAAGGATAATGCATACCATCGATAGAAATGTTGTTGCATAATATAGCCAAATAGGATGCTACACACTGCTAATAATAATGCTAATGTCTACCAATTTTTTTACCTGCTATCTCTAACAATGTGGATGCATGTCATCACCAACAAGGCTAATGCACATCGTCGACACAAATGCCAACAACCAACGACTTCTTAATCCATAATTATCAATAACATCGATGAATATTATAACTACTAATATTATTCCATGACATCATCAACAATTGCCAATAGCTTGTATGGTACTTCTTGGTCACCCTCATATGAGAGGAATGATCGAACAAACCATCAACAATCTCATGAAGCAAACTTCAATGCCTCAAGCTCTTTTAATGTTCATCATGGAAACCATCCTATATAATATATCTCCACTATATTGTTATAACCCCTTTTCCAATTGTGATAAATGATCTCATTTGCAATCTCCAACTTACTTTAGTAGAATTGTTTCAACCTGCGTAGATCTCATGGTTTTTTGTCTTTCATGAGTTTTCACATTAAAAAATGTTGTTTTATAAAGTTATTTTATCTATATACATATCGGATCTTCATATAATATAAAGATGATATTTTTTTTTCTATTGTTACAAATGTTCTAGTAGGATTATAAATGTTGTTTTGCTGTTTCATTAGTTCATTTATCACCATTTTCATTATTAATCATGAATTATATTTCTCATAAATTTTATATTTTATGCAAACTTGCTATAACACATATTAAACTTTTTGAATTTTGAACTATATCTTAACTTTAAAATCTTTGCTTATGATTCTTTTGACTTACTAAATGATTTTACTCTCATCCTCTCTCTCAATGCACTCATGAAATTTAATTTTGGCTTATAGTAAATTCTATTTGAAGTTAAAAATAATAGAATTTTCTATTTGAGTTTAGGATTAAAATATTATTTTAGAAAATTCTCTCAATTATATGAATTTGATAGCTTATTTTAGTCTACTTAAAAATTTATTTTAAATTAAAAATATATGATTTAATATAAATTATTATAATTGTTGTGTCTTGAAATATTCATGGTGGTAGAGAAATTCAAAGTTTAACGTCTTAACATTTTAAGAAGATTCAATACATAAAAAGATGAAAGATAAAGGTATAGCGTTCATAATGGACATTAAGATTTTTATGTGAAAAATTCTGAAAAGGAAAAAAATCATGGGGCATAGCACAATTTGAATGAATTTGCTAATGTTTGTAGTTGATTACTAATGAGGCCCTTCCTTAAGGGGAAGGCCTTAGCTCGATGTAACAAATATACATCATATAGAGTGCATTACATGGTGGGAGTTGGAAGAATCAGTATTAACATGTTCATTTGGTTAGCAGGATCATAATTGGTAGGCGATGGAGGCTAGAAAGATGATAGTCAGGTGATGATGGTCGAAATGACCATAATCGGCGGGTGACGGAAATAGAAAGATTGTAATCAGGTGAAGGTGGTAGAAAAGATCGTAATTGGGCGGCAGAGGTCGGAAGGACCATAGCCGGCCGATAATGGTGGTTAGAAAGACCGTAGTTGGGTGAAAGTCATAAGAAGGACTATAATTGGGAGACGGAGTTAGAAGGACGTAGTCAGGTGACATGTTGGGAGTTGGAAGAATAAGTATTAACATGCTCATTTGGTTGGCAGGACCATAATATGGAGGTCAGAAAGATCGTAGTTTGGTGATGATAGTCAGAAGGAATGTATTAGGTGGGTGACGGAGGTCAGAAAGATCGTAGTCGGATAAAGGTGATCGGAAAGATCATAATTGAGCAATAGAGGTCGGAAGGACCATAGTCGGTAGACAGCAGTGGTCTAAAAGACTGTTGTCGGATGATTGTGGTCTGAAGGATCATTATCAGACGATGAAGGTCAGAAAGACTACAGTCGAGCGACGATTGGCGCCCGGGCAGAAGTCCAACATCAATTGTTGGTTGAGCATAAACCTGGTGTCAGTTGGTGACCGAGCGAAAGTCCGGCGATAATTGGTGGCCGGGTATAGGTCTGACGACACTTGGTGGCATGGAGAATGTCTGACAAAAGTCCAACGACAGTTAGTGGTCGGGCGGTGGTCGAGGAGGAACTTAATGACAATAGATATTCCAGATTTCTCTTCATTTCCTCTCTTCTTTATCTTCCTTGTTTTTTCCCCACTCAATAAAGAATTGATGAGTCTATTTATAATTTTTTGAGAGTGATATGGTCAGTAAATAGAGGCAAGATCAAGAACATGTTCGTAGTATCTTGAATGGACGACTGATATCGACTTCCTTGATTCTGGACCATTTGTCAAGTATTTGAGTGTCTTAATGAAGTCAGAATTTGATGATCTCAAGTTCGTTGGATTCGGCTCATCGAGTCGCTCGATTCGACTATAAGCATCTTATATTTGAAAATCATATGATTATTCAATTTATAGTTTGAACCTTCCATATGCACTTTGGTCTTCAATTTGGACTCATTTGGGCTTGGCTTGGGTTGAATTTGGTGTTGTTCTATTCGTCTTTTCGAGAAGTTAAGTTCGACTATAAGTTGCTAACATCGGAGTTCGAATGACCCAAATTTAATTTCGAAAAATTTTAACTTAATTTTGATTCAAGATTCGTGCGAAATCAAGATAAAATTTTGAGGATATATCAATAAGAAATATAAAATTATATTTATTATAATATTTTTATTTTTTAAAATATTTTTAAAATTATAACCCGAAATGTTTGCCACGTGTACAGTTTCTTATTGTCGGTTATGTCATTATCCCTCACCTTGTAAGATCGTGGGCCCTCTAACGTCTTTCCAGATAAAGACCAAAAGCCCATTTTCTTTGGTTTCATCCGCATTTGCCGTCTCCCTCCAACTAACTCGCTTCGTTGACCCAAAATTTCTCTCTTCCGCTCTTTATCTGGTCGCTATCATGGCTTGCCGTTCCAGGAGCCCGCGCGCGCGCAGGAAGCCCTAGATTCATCCGCCGCCTGAAAACTTTACTCGGCTCGGTCGTCGTTGTCTCGGCATGGAGGTGATCTCCCTAGACGTGCTCCTCCCATCGTGGTGGGAGATCGAGGTCACATTTGCCGCTGCGCTTTTGGTGATCGCCGTCTACTCGTTGTTTGGGAAGATCGCAAGGCTTGGTTTTTGTGGTGGTAGTGGAGGAGGAGTTGGAAAAGAGGACGATAGGCTTTTCGGCGGTGATGAGATGGCGGTTGCAAAAGACCCGCTCCTCAGGGAGTACGATGACAAGGAGAAGGTCGGATGTAGAAATTTATTCCTTTTTATTGAATTCTGTTTTTATTTCCTTAGCCGAGAATGGTGTTCTGTGAGAATATATACGAATGAGCCTTTTTTGGTTTATAATTATATGACGGCTGGGTTTGGGTTTCTATCAAGAATTTGTGAGAAGTTTTGCTTGGTAACTGGCATTGATTAGATAGGCATGTGCGAAATTTGGTAAGTTTGGTGTGTATGCTTCTTACCGGAATGCAGGGTTTTTTTGTTTTTTATTTTTTTATACGCATATATCATGGGTTTTAGGGATTTTTTTGTTGATATAGTGATATCAACCTAATAGCTTCGGAACCAATCCTTTTTTTTAATTCTTCTTTATTTTATATGCTAAAACTTATGTAAATTCGCAGTTTGATGATTAATTTAAGTACTTGTACAAAATCAAATATTAAACAATCATGCAAATTCACATGTTTCTTGATGTATTCACTCTTCAGGTGAATTAGGCTCGTATAGTGTTCAATCTGATGGCATCATATGTAAAATATAGTGGCTGAGGAAGAGAGGGGGAGAGAGAGACACACTCCAGAGGGAGCGAGAGAATGACATACATATCAATCAATCAAGTGCCTCTAATACAAGACTAGATCCCATTATATAGATAAACTAGGGCTCTTAATACATTCTTAGCACACGCTTAAAACGTAATATGGAAAATAATTTGATGACCATGCTTTTCTTGTATTCTTTCATCAAAGCCAAAATAAACTCTATTTTAAAGATTTGAAAGGTCACCATGGTGATGGTGAAGATAGACTTGGTTTGTGCATATCTCTAATTAAACCCAAGAATATGCATGCACTATAGTTTGGTGGTTGGCAATCAACTTGAAGGACTAGTAGGACCATAAGTCACTTAGCAATTAGTGAAAATTTGGAGGTTTTGGAGCCGGATGGCGATGTACATTATCACTGAAATGAAGAACACAAGGAAATATCCCATGAAAGTATGGCTGTAATATTGGTGATGGTATGAAGTGGTCATAATAGTATGATGTGAACATTATGCCATAGTGTATGGGCAACTATATGACAAATTTAATGGTGAAAGCAGGAAAAAAATAAAGTTAGCCAATGATGTATTTGGCAGTGATAGTGTGGAAGCAATCTATATATCAATTTGTAGAGGTTGGGGAACAACAATAATGGCTAAATTTTCTTTAGACTCAGGTGTAGCATCATTTTTTGGGAAGATCACTCATGCAACTAGCTCAAATCTATCCTTAGGCACATAGTCAAACTCAAGGTTAAATGCATCATCACCCTTGGGCACAAACATTCAAGGAAAAAGAGACAATAGGATTTATGGAGTTGGCATTAGAGTAATTGTACAAATAAATAACTTGAGACTTTTTGTATCCTCAAGGCATCTATCTAATTTAGCATTGAATATTTCAACATGACCCAGGTTGATTTGGGACTTAAGATTTAAGAGAAGATAGATCTAGCGGATTGGCATTGGTTGTATCATATCGGAGGCTAGAATGGACATGATTATCATGATATCGATGAAAGTATTACTGATCACCATTATATGATATATCAGGCACAATATCAAGTTTGAGAATGTACGTGATCATCATGATATGATTGATAATGATCATGATATGAACTAAATAATTTATTTGTTTGGTTTTTTGAAGAATACTAGTCATAAGTATCATGTGAAGAAGAGAAGAAATTATGATTTCTTGTCATGATAATATTCTTCAGAATGATCCCGATAGAAAGTATATGATGCATGTTTATAATACATAAGTTGAGGAATGATAATAAAATTAGGAAGGAAGAAGAAAACTAAGTGATGAAACAAGAGAATTATATTTAGTTTTCAATTTGGACTTGATTCATTCATGAAAGAAGCAAACTAAGCTTAGGTGAAGTACCAATAGATGTGATTAGAGAGTTGGATGCAAAGCAGCGAGTGTGAGATTTCATGATAGTGGTGAGTATGATGTAGATGAGTTGACACTGATGATTGGCTAAAGTCATTATAGGGCCTACCAACAATAGTGGTAGGAGATGCGTAGGATGGCGTGAGCGTGCGCAAGCTAACTTGAGGGGAAGAGCGAGTTGAAAGAGACAATTGACGGTCTGTGCAAAACAAAGTCAATCTAGGGCATATATATTGATGAAATGCAAGTTTTGGTGAAGGTCGCAAATAAGAAATATGAGAGTGCCAAAATGCGAGGGTGAAACACATGCTAATGTTTGATTGTGAATCATGATTGGGTTGTGAGGAATTGAGTAGGATTGTGAGAGGAGCGTGGGATATCACATGTTGTGTCGGATTAATGATAGATATCACATGCAAATTGAGATGGACGGGATTGCTGGAGATTGATATTTGCAGCAGACTTTATGGGAGGCAATATAGTGTGGTGAGGTTGTAGCGGGTGCACCATGTTTTATGTAATTAGGCATAGTTTTAAAGGTTGTACATGTGGGTGATGAGAGGTGTAATGTGGTGTTCGAAACTTACAACATATGAAGCAATTAGTGATCGAGGCACGTGTTGGTCGATGCCTCACAGGGTCATAGTTGGTCGAAGTGCACACGAGTTAGTGTGATGCTAAAAGGCGTTGATAGATTGGTGCCGAGGCAATTTGACAGGTCACATAGAATGTTGTGCTCGCTACAAAACAATAGATGGATTGGGTTGGTTGCAGGACTTGTTCATTTGATAATGAAGGTGAGGGTTGGCGGGGAGACGGCCAATGAGCAGGATTTTTGGTTCTATGATATATTTGATGTCATCATTAGGAAAATGATTGATATAAGAAGAAAGATTACATGTTAGAATTAAATTGACACAAAAATAAAACTTAATATGGAAAATAATCTTACACTCATGCTTGTTTTGCATCAGAACCTTTAAGTTTTACTGAAGTAGTGTCTATACACATTATTAAGAATGATAGGTGTAATAGGGCACTATGTATTTGTGGCAGTAGTTTGTCTACTCATGCCAAATGTAGGCTTTTGTAAACTACAAGTAGTTGTTAAAAGAATGTAAGGATTTAGATTGCTGCAGTTTACTTGTGGCATAGACTGAAATAAGTAATACCTAATGCCAACTACATGGAATCATCATTACTGACTTTAATAAATCATATACTTGTCAGCATGGTACAAAAATCATGAAGTCCTGAAAAAAGATTAAATAATGTTTCAATTTTGTGTATAAAGTTAACAGTGGCTTACATTATGTTCAATGAATTAAAATTCTAAACTTAGAAGAAACTTGTTGACTTAACATGTAAGTAGTAGGAAGCTGAATTTGTTAGTGGCATAATTCTGCTCTAGTATGCTAGCTTGGATGTTTTGTTTGTGACCTGTGTACGTGTAGCTGTCTGTACAATGCCAACCATAAATTTAATGATTATCATGGCTATAGAATGGTTCCATAAAAAAGTTCAATATATTATCATTCTTTGTCAACTGTCACTTTGTTTCTAGTAACTATTAGGTGAAATTTACCCATCTTCTGGTTTGGACTGCATGGTAAAGAGGAGTTTCGAGTATTAATCAATTGGTTTGCCCCAATTTTGTTGACAAGGTGTGAAAGAAGTTTAGAAACTAAATACGCAGGATGGTTTTTTCTGTTGGTTGAAAGGTATGATACATTTGCTTGAGCTACACATATCTTAAATTGTTGATGTTGAGGAAACAAGAAGATTGCACTACTCGGATTAGTTTTTTATAACTTTCTAAAGGAATGTCTTAAAATAACCAAAATTTCAAACTACATTTTTGGCACTATAGCTTCTGAATATTTGATGAACCATATCACACTTAATAAAAACTGATATCAATGGTAGTAGGAGTTAACCTAAATTACCACGTGAATGGTCCTCTAGTTGAACTAAATTATGGATTTCTTTTTTTAAAAAGGACAATGCTTTTCACTTCAATTGTTACTTCTACAAACATGTTCATATAAAGCATGAAGCATGTAATGGACACAATATGATAGGAACTTGACGATATTATAATTTTTGGAATTAGGCACGTATACCTTAAGAATATGTGAGCATGTTGATAAATAGCTTTATATTATAAGCTTTTTAAGAAATATAACTGTACATTTTAACTAAATTATCTTGTCTTTGATATGATGATATATATTGAATGAATCGGTACGTACTTTCTGAGCTTGACTGTTGTGAATGTTACTCATATTGGCAAAAAATTATATTGAAGTTTTCTATCTTTACCTTTGCCACAAAGCCACCCATGGATATAAACCTCCCCCTCTAACCATCCTGTTTTTGATCCTAAGCATCCACACGAAGTTTTTAAAAAATAATCGGGAGTTTTTGCCCTATGTAGAAGGAGATAATAATTAGGGGTGTCAATTCGGGTCAACGGGTCGGGTTCGGGTCGAACCCGGAATTGAACCGGCACTATTTGGGTCAACCTGAACCCGACCCGACACGAATGATCCGAGGTTGACCCAAAATGCTAGTTTTCGGGTCAAAAATCGGGTCAATATTCGATTTTCAAGTAAAAAACGGGTCAATGGTCAATCTCGGGTTTTCGGGTCAAATACGAGTTTTCGTGTCAATTTCGGGTTGCTGGGTCAACTTGAACCTGGCCCGGTTTTTTAAACGGGTTGATTTGTTGAACATGAACCCGGATTTTTCCGGGTCGTGTCAAAAATTGACACCCCTAATAATAATGTGTGGTGTTATACTGTATGTTTAACATATAGTAAGATGCATTATGTTTGCTGTGGTAATTTTTTTTAAACTACATCAAACCATTAATTCACTTTAATTATCTATTTTGTTGCATAAATTGATTCTTCTTATTTGCTTCTTGAAATAATTCTTCAATTTGTTTGACATGCAGTTCTCCACTTATTTTGTAGATGAGCCATTTGAAAGGGGATTCTCAAGTTAGTTCTTCCTATGTTATTAAGGTATTTCTTTCTTTTTTTTTTCAATCTTTCCTCTCTAAGTAGTTAGTACATATTTTCTCATTTTCTGAGTAAGAAAGAACTCTCCCATTGAATGAGGAAAGAGCCGTCCTCTGGACGGAAGCCTATAGGTATCCTTCCAGGGTAATTCCTTTGATTTGCTTAGTGAACCATTTTTTATTACTATTTCAGCTGGAACTGCTAGCTGCCAAGAACCTAATTGGTGCAAACTTGAACGGGACATCTGATCCTTATGCAATAATTACATGTGGTGATCAAAAGCGATTTAGGTGACTAGTGTAACATTTCAACTTTTGAGCATTTATCTTGTTTATGTTGGAAAAATTTAGTGGGCATGTTAATGTTTAATGTGGATTGTGTTGTTTTCTTGTTCCTTATCTTGAATTGGATATTCAATTATTTATCATGTTTGCATTTCCATTTTTGAGAAAAAAATCTGAACTTGTGAAAATACATGTGATCCTTATTATGTGATCCTTGTTATGCGTTATTCATAAACCTATTAAAATATTTTTACACGCCTTATTATGCGTTATTCAATGACATGAGTGATCCTTTTTGGGTAAATTCGATTTTTCAGATGTATCTATGCATTCTGTTTTGTGAATGGGTGACATTTGTGCAACTTATGTGTGATGTTGCGTCCTTAGCCTGTCATTTTTGTTGTATTCGATTGAATTGATCTCAAGGTCCTTCTTTGGATGTGAGCACCATCACTCCACAATTTATTCCTGTTATTGAATCAATGTATTTTTCGTTAGTGCACATGAGCCGACATTTTACTACAAAATGGAGTATTGAAAGGAAAAAAAAGGTATAAATTATAGTAACTCAAAATTTTCTTTTTTACCTTATGTTTTAAAATATTTCTTGGAAAAAACCATGTTATGTGTAACATTTTTCATCAATTGTATGCCTTCTTGAATACTAAATTTGTAAGCTCGTTGTTATCCTGCAAGCCTACCCACATGCCCATATCATCGCTTCCATTCCAATCAAATTCTTCAGATGCACCTCT